TGGGATTTTAACGTCCGGCTAGCAAGTCAATCTTTCCCTCAAAACACGTTCTTCTACTTTTCTTCACCCCATAACATACGGATCTGACTTCAGTGATCTCATCACACTGGCACTCATCAGTGTGATGAGATCTGGACCATCAAAGTAATATTTATTTTATATTTATTAAGGAAATATTATATTATTTCATTTTATATTAACCTGTATAGAGATACTCTGTACAGTTTAATATATAGCAATTATAAAAAATTTAGTATTAAATTGGACCCTCTAAATTAAATATAGACCAAATTAAAAATAAAAAATTTATTGAAACTATTTTATAATTTTTAAAAATTATACATAGTACATCTGGATAGTCAGTATATAATAATTATAAAAATTTTAATATTAAATTAGACCCCTCCAAATGAAATCTAGATCAGATTACAAATAAAAAATTATTAAAACTATTTTATAATTTTTATTTTAATAAATATAAAATAAAATAATATAATATTGCTTTAAATCTAATCTGAATGGTCTATATCTCGTTTGGGTGACAAGCATTGTAGACAAACCCCATAACATACTCATTACAGTAGAGATCATTCAATTATTCATAAAGAAAATAACATGGCTTCTGTTAAACAAGTTTCGCTTTCGTTACTAACTCCTCCTCATTTCTTCCTTATTGGAGATCTCCAATGCCAGCATTATCGTCTACTAGGGCCAAAACAGGAACCAAGGCTGCCTCGCCAATGCATATGACACCAAAAACTACAAATGCGTCAACCTAGCTTTGCTTGTCTGCCTTTTGCAATAGCTAAAACTCTTAAACTTAACCTTACCAGCCACTGCAACACAACAGCCAATACATGCACCAGATTTAGCACAGACATCAAAACTTGCCAAACTAAGAGCATTAAAGTGCTTCTTTCACCACAAAATATAGCAAATTAGTGATGGAATTTAGCGATGAAAATTTATTCCGTCACAAATATGTCACAAACACTACAAAAAAAATGACTTTCAGCATCGACTTTGAACGGCAACAGTAAAATTCGCCGCTAAAAGTGTGACTTTCAACGGTGACAAGGTATAGTCGCCGCTGATTGTCAGACATTCAGTGACGACTTTCACTGTCACCGCTGAAAGTTGAGAATCAGCGGTGACTTTTTAGTGTCGCCGCTGATTGTCAACATTTTTTTATTTGTTTTAAAAAAATTATGTTGCAAGTTTCAGCGGCGACATACAAGTCGCCACTGAAAGTTGACTTTCAGCGGTGACTTTTTAGTGTCACCGCTGATTGTCAGCATTTTTTTATTTCTTTTTAAAAAATTATGTTGCAAGTTTTAGCGGCGACATACAAGTCGCCGCTGAAAGTCGAATTTCAGCAACAACTTTTTAGTGTCGCCGCTGATTATCTGTATTTTTATAATTTTTTTACTAATGTATAATCATCAGTATTTTTACTATTTATTCTTAGATATTTTTTATATTATAATTATAAATATGAATATTAAAATAAATAACATAACAACCTCAAGAAGTAAAAGAAATAATACAAATTATATTGTATCAATTATATTTATAGTTTACTTTAAACAAAATAAATAATATAATTTATAATTTTATAAATTGAAAGAATTAAATTGAAGTATTTAAGGATAGTAATGATATTTTATAATATTTAATATTTAATATATATGTGTGTTTGTATAGTTTAATAATATGTGTATATATATATTTAATTATGCAATAATAGATTACAGGTTCATTCCAGCTCAATGGCAAAATGGTTGGACACAAAAGGAGGAGGTCACGGGTTCAAACCTTGGAGGAGACAACTTTCAAAATGGAAATATAAATTGATGACATGATGACACATGGCGTGTGGTGAGAGCAACACATGGAGAGTGACATGGCGTCACGTGGTGTGAGGTGGGGCCCTATGTGGAGGGTGACATGGTGCCACGTGGCGTGAGGTGAGGGCGACACGTGGAGGATGACATGGTGACACGTGGTGCGAGGTGGGGCCCTATGTGGATGGTGACATAGTACCACTTGGCGTGTGGTGAGAGTGACACATGGAGAGTGACATGGTGCCAGGTGGCGTGAGGTGAGGGCGACACGTGGCATGAGGTGGGGCGCCATATGGACGGTAACGTGGTGCCATGTGTGTAAGTGAACCAACATTACTTTTCAGCGACAACTTTTTGGTAGCTTCAGCGGTGACAACTGTTGCCATTGATACTTAACATTCAGTGACGATAGAAATAGTCACCACTGATGCATAGTTTCTGTGACGACAATTGTCGCCGCTGATTCTCAACTTTCAGCGGTGACTTTTATTATCGGCGCAGATTGAATCAGGGATAAGAGCTCTCACAGCGACATTATGATGACTTTTTGTCACCGCTGAAAGCTTTCAGTGGCGACTTTTTGACTTTCAGCGGCGACATGTCGTCGCAAATTTTCAACTTTCAGTGGTGACTTTTTTTGTCGCCGCAGATTGAGTCAGCGATAGAAGCTCTCGCGACGACATTGTGGCGACTTTTGTCACCATTGAAAACTTTCAGCGGTGACTTTTTGACTTTCAATGGCTGAAAGTCAATTTTTTTGTAGTGAAATCCGTTGCTAATTTACTGACGGAATTTAGTGACGAAACATTCTGTATCTAAAACATTAGTTGCTATTCCATCGCTAGACCATCAGAAATAATTTTACTGATGGCATTTAGTGATGGAATGTTTCATCACTAAAAATTCTATCACTAAACCTTCAGAAATAATTTAGCGATGGAATTTTTTGACAGAAATACTCGTCGCTAATTTTCAGGATACGTTATTATCATTTTGTGATAGCATTTGCGATGGAAAATTCTGTCACAAATCTTTCCATCATAATTCCATTACTAATTGTTTTAAATTGTATTATATGATTTATAATATATATTTATATATAATTTATTATTTAAATTATTTAGATATTAATAATAATTATAATAATTTAAATTATATATTTAATTATTTTTTTGATAACATAGTAACATACCTAATTATTGTTATTTAAAAATAAAAATATTTTATTAACATAATATAATATAAAATAAGTATTATATAAAAATTTAATGTATTTTATTGATAAATAAAAATAATGTTAAATAAAATAATTATATTTAAATTATATTTTTTTGATATGTGTGTTTGGGGGGCAGTTAAATATTATATATTTAATTTATTAATTAAAGATTAAAGATCTCCTTTAGCCTAACTAGCAACAAGGTTGGATGCAAAGGCTCATGAAGGTGTGAGGTTGTGGGTTCAAACTTAGCCAAAGCACATTTGAAGTTATTTGAAGTTAATATATGACATAGAGGTGACGTGGCAGGTACATGGTGACATGGAGGCGATGTGGTAGGGAGGGGTGATGAGGTGGCAGTGACATGGCGATGAGGTGGCATTAGCCCACTAGGTGATGTGGCAATGGTAATTTTTTATAGAATTTTAATTTGTGATGGATTTAGTGAGGTAATGCATTCCGTCACAAAATTGTAATGGCTTATCCTTGTTTAGCGATGGAAATTTTCCATCAATAACTAATTTCCTTCGCTAATGAAATAGTGACGGTGCTTTTACCGACAGAATTATTCCGTCGCTAATCCATTTAGCGACTAAATTTGTATTGATTAGTGACAGAATTTCTAATCCACTATTTTATTTGCAGTGTCTCTCTCCCCCCCCCCAGCAGACAAGCAAAATCATATTTCATTAAAATTTTATAAATTTAACTATATTTTAGTTGATCTTTCGGGATTTTAGGATCTAAGTGTCATTTCCCTATAAACTTTGTTTATAAAAATATGAAAATTTAATGACTTTATTTAAAAATTTTATTACTTGATGTGAACTCTCAAACAGTAATCTACCTCAATCAATAGTGACAAAGAAAAATTTTGAAATAGAGACAGAGTTACCTCAAAAAAGAGAAATTCTAAACAACATTATTATTGCAGACCCCACCACCAGTCCTTTTCTAACGTGAAATTTCATTGATGAATGCAACTCACAACTGCCTTTCTATTTTTCCACAAGTTATCTTCTTATTAATTTCTCAATTGTCCAAGTCAAGCTTTTTTTTTTTCTATGACATGTCTAAGTCAAGCTTTTTTTGTGTGGGTAAAATAACTAAGTCAAGCTTTTGATAGACTTTTATTTTATAATTTATTTCAAATTTTGGATTCAATACAAATTAGGCGCCAACTTACTATCATCTCTAGTGTAATTAATTAAAAAAAAAATAGATAGAATCGCATTTAAAGACTTGTGAACAATGATATTCTTAGATAAGGATCATTAACAAGTCACCATTAAGAAGGATAAAATAAGTTTAGATTCCTATTTTAACAATAATTCATTTTGTATTGATCTTTATTTATGAATAATATTTTCATAGGTATGCAATTGAAGTTTTCAACATATATTAGCATTAAATCAACAGTGCTAATTTTTATAATTGGAAAATTTGAATGGGCTCTACTTTTTAAGGTTTTGGCACAAGTAAATCCACCAATATTCTAACATTTCCTGCTATTTTTCTCCATTGCAAAATAGCTTTTGCATATTATTTTATTCATTATAATTAGCTATTTTAGACTAATATTGGTCAAGTAAATTCACGAATATCATTACTCTCATTTCAGTGCTGATCAAAGCTTTCTTCTCCTTGTGAAGCCACTAAGAAAAGAAAGAAAGACTTTCAACAGTAATTATAAAAAGTCACCGCTAAAAGTCCAATAACCTACGATAGTTAAAATTTCTTCATTATTTTCCTTTCCAAACAAGCTTTTGCATATTATTTTGTTCATCATAATTAGCTATCATAGGCTATAACAATTAATTACATTATTATCCTTTCTCTTATAACTAATCTAATCAGCTAATCACTCTCAAAGATTATATATAGTGGAGGTTTCTTCTCCTTTTTCTACATCCTAAAAAGCTCTGAGCCTATCCAACATGGGAAATCTTTACTTTCATTTCTCCTCCTCCATTTTCTCCATGCTCTGTCTCATGGTTTGCCCATCTTTATGTCATTACAATTTTACCCTTGATGGATTGACACTTCTTGCTTTCAAATCTTCTATTAGGGACCCTTACAATCACTTGAAAAATTGGTCCAACTCATCATCTTCCTTTTGCAACTGGTTTGGAGTCACTTGTGATCCTAACAATGAGAGAGTGAGAATCCTGAGTCTTCCTGATCTGGGTCTTGAGGGCACCTTACCCTTGCAAATTGGAAATCTGTCCTTCCTAGAAAAACTTGAACTACAAAGCAACAACTTTCATGGTGGGCTGCCAAAAGAGTTGCTTCAATTGCGCAAATTGGAAATTCTAAACTTGAGTTATAATACTTTTAGTGGAGAAATTCCGACTTGGATTGGAAGCTTGTTTATGCTTCAACACTTGAGTCTTGGCAATAATAGTTTTGGAGGTCTCATTCCACCAAGTATATGCAATTTGTCTAATTTGGAGACGTTGGATTTGAAGTCTAATTCTATCAATGGATCTATTCCGGTGGATATTGGAAGACTTCAACACCTAAAATTTTTAAGCATTTCTAGAAACATGCTTTCAGGAAGTATACCTCCAACTATCTCTAACTTATCATCACTTGAACACATCTCATTGTCTCTCAACTTCTTAGAAGGTATGTCTTGTATAATATATCTTGATATAAACATTTATTTTATTTTTCAAAATTGATTTTATAAAAAAATTTTATAATCGTTTACATCAGTCTTATTCTTGATGTCAATCTAACTTGGGGTGTGCTATTTGCTATGTCTTTTCAAAGTTAGACCTTGAACCGAAAATTCTCAAACATTTTACAATTACATGAAACAAATTAACTATATATGCCTCTATAATTAAGCTATCATCGCCAGAACAAATTTGACTATTCTTTAAAAATTATTCCTTCAATGAGTTATCTCTGACAAAAAATATTTTTGTTTAAGAAGACAATTTAATTAAATGTTATTGGGAATTCTCTTTCAGCAAGGAACTTTTTTTTTTTACGCTACAATTTTTGGAATTCCTTTTGTACTTTTCAATTGTCATAAGTTGATGCATGTATATCTGTATATTATCTGGTTGGTAATATTGACTAGAGATCAAATTATTGAATGCATGTATGAGATACAACAATAATGTATTCCCAGAATTATATGCCTTACTCTTTCGTTTAATACTATTTTTTATATAAGCACTCATGAAAAAAGTACAAGGTTATTTTTTGGCCATATTGCAGGACATATTCCCAAAGAAATGAATAAGCTTACAAATCTGAAAAATAAGTACATAGGTATGAATCAGTTGTCAGGGCAAATACCAAGCATTGGAAATTTGTTCATGCTTGAAAATTTATATCTTGCAAGCAACAGCCTCCAAGGTACATTTTTAACGAATCATAATTTTTTCTTTTTTACTATCGTTTGCTTCTCTTTTTGGTACAATTATGTATAGGTCCTTTGAAGGATACTTATTTACAATAGGTCCCATATAATTTAGAAACTACAGCCAGGTCCCTTGAGATCCAATTGAAATTTGAAATTACGGTGCACAAATAATACTACCCTTATACTTGTAATGAATGATTAGTTTAATTATTAAATATGTGAAGTCATAGTTGCAAAAAGTTGAAGTAATAGTTGTAAATTATTGATAAAATATTATAAACAATTAATGTTAAACTTTGTTAGTAACGTATTGATATGTGAAGTTATAGTTGTACAATGTTGATGTGATAGTTGTAAATTACTGATGAGGTAATTGTATAAAATTAGTATTAAATTTGCAATGCATGATTAGTTTAACCATTGGATATCTAAAATTACAATTGCAAAAAGTTGAAGTGATAGTTGTAAATTACTGATGTACTTATAATTACTTGATTGATGTAATGTATTTTTAATAAGGATATTATTATCTTTGCACCTTAGTTTTAAATTATACTCAAGTCCCAAGGGACCTAGTTATGATTTTTAAATTTTGCAAACTTATTTATAAATAAGTCTACTCTATGAGCAAGACCTATACATAATTGTTCCTTTATTGTTTAACGATAATCATTAGAAACAACTTTTTTGAGTGACCATAATTTTTGGAGGAGCATCCCTTCAAATATATGTCAAGTTGATGATTTCAATGGTTATATTTAGGAGACAACATATTTTCATAACTCTATACTATAAAATAAATCAAGGACCCATTTGTTTATGATTAAAAAATAAGTGAGTTTTATATCATTTAGATTTTTTCAAAAAAGGGATATTTGTTGTAGAGATTTTATAAAAAGCATATATTATTTTATGTTTGACCACAATAATGAAAAGTGATTATTATTTAGTTATTTTTATATTTTATAATATCTTCATGGATCTCTATTCATAAAAAAAAATATCATTTAGTTATTTTAAAAGGGTAAGACTTTGGTACTTAGCCTCATATACTTAATGTATAGTACTTGCATCCAATCAAATCAAAACAAGTGGAATTTAATGTGTTAGTAATATTAATAATGAAATATTATTGTAGAATAAATAATTTACAAATGATACACATATCTTGATTTAATTGAAAATAATCACCATAACATATAAAGCTAAGTATATAAAAAAAATTTCGTTTTCAAAAACTATTCAAAGTAGCTTTTCAAATTAGTCAAAACATAGAAATATGTTTTTTTTAGATTTTCATTATTTTTAATAGTTTAAACAAATATAATAAAATTTCACTAAATAATTTTTTTTAAAAAAATATGTGATCATCTCGTAAAAGGAAGATCAAACAATTGGACCCCAAATTAAATCTCCAACTTTAATTTCATAACTTCTTTTTACAAGGATTCTTCAAAATCATAAAATAAATTCATAGGAGTTCATTATATTTTATGTTTTTAAATTAAAATTCTTCTTTGCAAAATTATTAAACCATGCGTGTCTGTGTGTGTGTATAAACTCAACAGACTATATCAAATTTGTTTCCTAAAAATAAAAGTAAAATTGTGGGAGGTGAGAGGTGTGGAATTAGAATGTTTAATTTTATGCAACAAAATTCACAGCATTGTAATTTTATTGTGTTGTAATGTTGCAGGAAATATTCCGAATGAAATAAGCAATCTTACAAATTTGAACAGCATATACTTAAGTTTTAATCAATTGTCTGGTCACATACCAAGAGGCATCGGCAAGTTCACTAGGCTTGAAGAGTTAGTTCTGGACAACAATAACTTTGAAGGTATATAAATACTTTTACCAAATTAAAGGCTAGTTCTGCTTAATTTTCTGTTAATATGACTTTTATGCATGAGCAATCAATAGAGTAACTTTTTTTTAACACATTGCAAAAGGAATTATTTCTTTACAATAAACAAAGAGAATCTCTCAAATCCAAAATTTATAAACATAGATGATGATAATAAGTTTCTGAGCATTAATTAACCTTAAACAGGTATAGTGAATATATACATATACTCAATGAATTGGAAAATTGACTATTATTTTATTTTATTATTTAGATTACGACCCACAGAATTCACAACTTGTACTACAAATTTAACAGACTATATCAAATATTCACCAACTTAAATTTCTTAATTAAAAATATATTTCAACTGCACACTACACTTTGGGATTGGTACGTAGCAATTCAAAACCATATATAATTAATGGGAATTATCATTTATTATCATTTAAAAAATCTTCTTATTTTTTAAAAAGTATATTGCTTTTATGAAAAGTTTTTTTTTTAAAAAAAAAAACCGCTACCCCTTATTAAACTTGTTAATTTGTCAAGAAATATAATTCCTCAAAATAAAATGTATAAAAGCTAAGCTAATATAGACTAAATAGTTTTCAAAACATAAAACAAAAATTATATATGTATATATATATATCATCATTTTATTGATGTTTTTAAGTGTTTGCTCATCTGTTGAATATCTAAATCTATATATGAGGACAATCATGCTTTAGACATATATAAGCTTATTTTCATTTAGACCACTAACTTTAAAACACAAAATAACTTCAAATAACATAGAAAGTATGCGTTGCCACAAATTTAAGTGTTGCTCTTTTTACTTACAATGATGCATTGTTAATTTTTTCCCTGTTTGCAGGAAATATTCCCAATGAAATTGTAAGTCTTGCAAATCTGAAGATGATGGGCCTAAGTGTTAATCAGCTATCTGGCCCCATACCAAGAGGCATTGGAAACTTGACTGTGCTTCAACAGTTATATCTTGGTAGCAATAATTTAGAAGGTACATTTTCCCCAAAATATAATGTACTACTATCAGTTTCTTTTAATGTGATATTTTATATTGCATAATGACTTCTTTTTATTTTTATTTTTCTTTGAATCATGCATTTTCATTCCCCTCATGATTTTCAGCTTCTCTCCGAACCTCTACCCGTCGATTCTTTTTCTGTTTAGATCTGATTCTTGAACTGGTGAATCAACCAACCAACATGTTTTTCATGTTCCCCCAATTTATGGACGAATTTTTGACTAGTTCACTACACATAAGATTTAATGATTTATGCTAGACTTGACCACAGGCTAGTTCACATCCAATCGGCTAGTATGGACCAACTGTTAAAACCATGATGTAACTGACTACTTAGGTTTGTAATAGGATAAATTAAAAATAATTTTAGAAGCTCAAGCCAGCAAACTAAAAACTCATCATCCGCCACTAAAAAAATACCTACAAGAGCGTTTATTTTAGACATAAAAAATGTGAAATTAGATCACAAAATTCTGACGACTAAATTAGTGACGGATCAAAGCGTAATTATAAGTTTGTTGCAAAGGCCCAAATCCATCACAAATTTGTTGAAAATTTCATGTTTATGTAGTGGCTAAATCTAAGTAGTTGGACATTTATAATTTTCTTTATATTTTAATGTAAACTTTCATTGATATTTCAATTAATATTTGTATTATAGGATCAATACCTATGGAAATTGGTAATCTTCAACAACTTGAGATATTACAATTGTCTCAAAACAATTTGAGAGGGTTTATTCCATTAGAAATTTTCAACATGTCAACTTTGGATGCCTTGTCTCTGTCAAACAATTCTCTATCAGGCAATCTTCCATCAAATTTTGGATTTGGCCTTTCTAATCTACAAAAGCTTTATTTATGGGACAACAAACTTTCTGGAAAAATCCCAAATACTATATCCAATGCTTCTAAGCTAACAACTCTAGAATTGGAGGACAATAATTTTGAAGGGGCTTTACCAAACACACTTGGGCATTTAAGATACTTAGAAACCCTTTCAGTAAGTGATAATAATTTTGCCATTATAGATAGTTCTGATTCTGAAATTGGCTTTTTCAACTCATTGTCAAATTGTAGACATTTGAAAAGTTTGACTCTCTCAACGAATCCACTGCACATGAAACTTCCCAAGTCCATTGGAAACTTGTCTAATTCTCTACAAGTGCTAGTTGTAGACTCATGTAGGATTAATGGCAACATACCATCAGAAATTGGGAATTTGTCTAACTTGTTCGAGCTATCGTTGGCTGAAAATTTTTTAAATGGATCGATACCAAAAGCAATTAGCAACATACATGCTCTTCAGTATTTGAATCTTGAAGGTAATGAGCTAGGTGGTTTGATTGTTGATGAGCTTTGTGAAATTAGAGGACTTGCCTATCTACATTTATCTCGAAACAAGTTTTCTGGCACAATGCCACCTTGCTTAGGAGATCTTATGTCCTTGCAAAAACTTTACTTGGACTCTAATAAGTTGATTTCTGAGGTACCTTCTTCCTTTTGGAATCTAACTGGTATATTGGAAGTAAACCTATCTTCCAATATTTTAGTTGGAAATCTATCATTCAAGATCAGTAACTTAACAGAACTAATATCATTGGATTTCTCAAGAAATCATATATCAGGCATCATTCCATCAACTATAAGTGGCTTGCAAAATTTGCAAATTCTCTTATTGGCACATAACAAATTGAATGGAAAGATTCCTGAATCATTTGGGAATTTGCTGAGCTTAGTAAAGTTAGACCTTTCCCAAAATCAACTGTCTGGTGAGATTCCTAAATCTCTAGAGTTACTTATATCCCTTATGTACATCAATCTCTCTTTTAATGAACTACAGGGTGAGATTCCAAGTGGCGGAGTCTTCAAAAATTTAACATTTGAATCTTTCATGATGAATAAAGCACTTTGCGGTGAGCCACAAATGCAAGTGTCTCCATGCAAAAAAGGAACAAGTAAGAGGTCAATGGAAAAATTGATTTTGTTGAAATGTGTATTGCCATTGGCTTTGTCAATAGCTTTAATTGCTACAGGCATTGTGCTCTTTCAACAAAAGCAAATAAATTCTAGGCATACCATTAAAAAAGTTTTATCTACTTTAGGAATGCCAAGAAAGATTTCTTATTTTGAAATTTTGGATGCAACTCATAGATTTGATGAGAGTAACTTACTTGGAAGGGGAAGTTTTGGTTCTGTGTTCAAAGGAAAACTTTCAAGTGGAATAATGGTTGCTGTTAAAATGTTCAATTTTGACTCAGAAGCATTGTCAAGGAGCTTTGAGGTAGAATGCAACACAATGCGTAATTTGCGCCATCGAAATCTGGTGAAGATCATTAGTAGTTGTTCCAATGCTGATCTGAAGTGTTTGATAATGGAGTTCATTCCTAATGGAAGCCTTGAAAAATGGTTATATTTTGATGATCATCATTTGGATTTTCTACAAAGATTGAATATAATGATAAATGTAGCATCCGCTTTAGAATATCTTCATCATGACTTGTCAATACCAGTAGTCCATTGTGATTTGAAACCAAGTAACATTTTGTTGGATGATAATATGGTTGCCCATGTGAGTGACTTTGGAATTGCCAAATTTTTAGATAAAGGGAAATCTAAGACGCACACAGAGACAATATCTACAATCGGTTATATTGCACCAGGTAATAAACCTTAATCTTTATTATTCTTCTTTTACAAAACCCCATTTAAATTGGAGTTACTACAGTAAGAGACAATATTTTTTAGATTAACAAAATCGAATGAAATTAGAGAAAAATAAATTAGTTATTATTTATGTGAAATGATGCACTTGTTTACAAAATCATTATGTTTTTATACATGAGAAGTTGAATTGATGAACTACATCACATTATTAAAGTTATCAGTGTAAAATAATTGCAATTGAATCTAATTTCCCTAATTATTATATAAAATTTTTATTGGTTATTTCCTTACAATTTTGATGGATTTTTCTATATTAAAAGAGAACTATACTTTTTTAATCAATTTAGTATACTTATGTTGAATTTTTTATTTTTCTTTTAAACATGAATGTGATGGTGTGTTTTAATGTATATGGTTGTGTTCGGCCAAAAAAAAAATGTATGTGGGGTCATGTTCATCAATGTAGTAAGTAATTTTTAATATAGTGTATATAACAATTGGAGATAGATATTCCTCTCAAAAATATATACCATATATTCTATTTGATGAGAATGTTTTCTGACAGTTTTTATGTTCTAAAAACCATACATTTAAAGTACTTTTTGATTGTTATTTTAAAGCTATTATATATATATATATATATCCAAGAAATTCTAAAGAATGCTTCAAGAAATGCAAAGGAACTTGTGCTATTAGTTAGTTCTTATTTTACCATATATAAGTTACTTGATATTTGACTTTAGTTGAATTAAATTATATCACATGCAGAATATGGATCTGTTGGAATGGTTTCAACAAAAGTTGATGTGTATAGCTATGGAATATTACTAATGGAAGTGTTCACTAGGAAAAAGCCAACAGAAGGTATGTTTGTCGATGGATTAAGCTTAAAAACTTGGATAAGTGAATCAATGTCACATGCATTGATTCAAGTCATGGATTCCAATTTATTACAAGGAGATGAACAATATGTTGGCAATACTTTGACAACTACATCCACTATTTTCAAATTGGCTTTGACTTGCTGCACTGATTTTCCAACAGAACGTTGCAATATGTTAGATGTTGTAGCGTCATTGAACAAGATCAAGGACCTGTTTGTGCAAAGAAGTCAAGTTAAAAAAAATTAATATTAAATCTATTTTGCAATTGGTGTTGTTGTCTATCCTTCATTCCTCCACTATCCCTAAAGAAAATGTTGGATATACGTAATACCTTGTGATAAAGGCCGATGGTATATTCTTCTAAACCTTAAATACAAACTATGAGTTGTGAATTTGTAAAACCTGTTCGGTTTTATTTTCATGAGTTGTACTTGTATTACATGGATTATGAGCCTTTTGATTAATGACATGTGTGGGTCCATATATTTTAGTTTTGAAAGATGTTGTCAAAAAAAAAAAAATTATATTAGCTTTACACTCACAAAAATGTCCATCTATCCACGGCTAGAAAAGTTTAATTTAGTGACGAAACTAAACGAGAGATTATTCTTTCCTCGCTAAAAGTCTGAATTAGTTGACAAAAAAAATATAATTTTTTTATATTTCTAAGTTTCTTTTCAATTAGACAATATAATATATTAAACAAAAAAAAAATATAAGAAAAAAGTTAAATGACAATATGGTCATTTTAATTGAATCACCATACCCCAAAAAAGTAGTTATGGGCATTGCGATTATATTCTTCTTTCCGATTATGCTAGGGAGAATTTGTAAGGAATTTTTACATAGAATCAATGCACTACATCATTTATATATTTTTCAGTAAAAATATATCATGTTACATAAATTGATTTTGCAATTGACAATGGTAAAGGGAAAAAATAAAAGAAATTAAAGAAACACTCTATTACAAAAATAAAATTATTAAAAATAATCACAATACTTTATATGATTGAAATACTGCAATTTTATTAGGTAAAGCATGGATGATATGGTGTACCTAGTCTATGCAAGAATATTTTGAGGGCTTGCTTCCACTACATATGTTTGTAGGAAAATAACAGTTACGTCTTAAAAACTTAATTTAATGAAAATTACAAAAAAAATGAGTTAAAAATATTTTAGTAAAGGATCACAATAGATAAATAATTTAAAATTAGGACAACTGAACTCTGAAATCACATTGCATAACCAAGGGATTAAATTAATTTTAAGGTGGTTTTTTCAATCAAATTAATATATGCAGATAATTTATATTATATATATATATATATATATTCTATAATAAACTCTTGTTATTAATATTATTACAACATTAAAATCTATTTGTTTTAATTTGATTATATAAAAGTACATTAAATATGTAAGGTTAAGTACCCGAGTCTTGTCCTTGAGAAATGACAAAAAAAACCCTCCATTAAAATTTAAAAGTACCCCCAATCGTCATTGTTGCCACCACTAGAGAGCTCTACAGGTTGGACCACCGCCAGCTGGAGTGTCACGCCCCAAAAATTAGACATAACTAGCACAGAATATATGCACAAACACACATTCCTTAAGCCTTAAGTCAAGAAACTTTTCTATTTCTAAAACACAATTAGATTCACAATATAACAAAAGCTTCAATATTTTTGTAGAAATTTTGGCAGAACATCTCTCATAAACAAAACCTCTCAAAATTCAACAATACAATATTTTAAACAAATATTTAAATCAATCAAGAGCTTAGCATCATCCAGCCAGCCAACAAAATATATAACAAAAATAAAAACCCTAATTATAAACCTATGTAGAGCACCTAGAAGCTAATACAAAAATACAATTTTATAATTCAAATTTACATTAAAAAGTAGCTTAGTCTATAGCTCTTCCACTTCCCAGTCGGTGATTAACTCCTTAACAATCAGCAGGAAGTTCAGCATCAACTAATAAATCTGAGACCAAAATATTTTGCAGTGAATAGCATCCCAAAAATAGAATTTAAAAGAGTAAAAATAACAAACTCAAACAATTATGTAAAATAAATAAATAAAAAATGATAATTCAATATAATAAACTTAATAAATCTATAAATTTTAATCATCATCATAAAATGAGAGTATACTAAAATTGCTTTATTCTATCATACTTGAAGAAAACAAATTATCCATATATAAATCAAATTAGTATTCTTACTAATTGAAACCATTGAAATTTCAAGTACATAACTCGATTAAAACTTTAGAATTTTTGAGGACTTAACATAACAGATAACAAACATGGATACAAAGTCCACGAGGGTAAAATAACCAAACGCGGCTTATGCCACAAAGACAAAACATAGACACACAGTCCGCGAGGATAAATAATCAAATGCAACCTGAGCTACGAAACAAATGTGGACACACAATCCACGAGAGTAATGCTAACCAAATGCAGCTAGAGCCATGAAACAAATATGAGTACGAGACCCACGAATAACAAATGTGATAATAGAGCTTACGAAAATCAAACTAGCTAATCATTAACCATAGCATACTAAGGGCTAATAAGACTGCCATTAGCAACCAGTGTTTTGTATAAAGTCCCCTTTCAAATCCATTTTCAAACATGTGAGAAATTACTTTAAAAAATAAAATTTTCATTCTCAAAATCCAACTCACATGAAGAATTTTGAGCATTAAAACCTTTCCAGAATAAAATTTCATCACTAATGCCCATACTTGCATTTATTGGACAATCAAAATTTTCCAAAGCTAATCAAGATAATTTCATAAATCTTGAAAATAAGAATCTTAGAAAAATTTACATGTACCTGCCACATCACATTTATTTCGTTAAAGTAATTTTATATTTCACAATGTAAAATAATTTAATTAATAATATAACTAAATTATCAAAATAATTAGAAATGACCTTCATAAAGACAAATGAAATCTTTCAATAAAACTATTATTACTAAAATAACTGGGATGCCATTCACTTACCTGAAATTTTTTCAAAGTATAAGGTCCTCCTCTTACCACATTAATCGATTTCCTCTCCTTTCTTCCAACTTCCATAAAGGCAGCAGAGGAACAAAGAAAAGAATGCAAAGCTCCCTAGCTCTGTCGATGGAGAGCTGACTAGGGAGGAGGAATGACAAAGGACGCTGATGAACACGCTGGAACTGGAGAAGAACACTAGAATCGGAGAAGAGCAGAAGCTGAGAGTTCTAGATTTTTCTTCCCCTCTCCTCTGGTATGTGTCACGAATGTTAACAAGAAAAGGGAAAAAGTCTGTGGTGCGCAAAAATGGTAATTTAGGAGGTTGGAGATATAAAATAATGCCCCATTGACGTTCGAATTTAGGATCTGTAGGTGAGCAAGTAACATAATTTTCATTAGACTAATATTCCTTTTAATATATCTTCTCCAAAAATTAATAAAAATAAAATCAAATTATTTAATAATAAAATCAAAAGATTTAAAAATAAATTTTAATTTTTAATTTAGACTCTAGGGTTATTACATGGAGCTCTAGCCACTGGCCAACAAATAATTACTTAAAAGTGAGTGGGGGATTTGAACCATTAAGCCATTGGTACTATTAATTATATGTTGCAAAATGTTATATATAAAATGAACCAAGTTCACTAACATCATGATGACTTATTATAACCATAACTTTAGTGTATAGTTTATTAATTCATCAAAAGGAACTTGTTGACAATCTCATTTAAATATCCAATTGTTCTATGCTATGAAAGTGCACAGGTCATGATAAATAATGCAATGCGAATAGAGTATCATTCTCACATAGACTTGCATTGTCTTAAAAGTATGATCGAGCAAAAGATATTGCAAATTCAACTAAATGAGCAAAGCACAATTAGTTGGACAAGATTGGTTGCTTGAATTGTATTAAAACTAGAAAATAAGGAAAAGAAAATTATTCTTATACTAATCAAGAATGAAATGGGACTTTAGATTATTTGTTTACCTTGCATTTAATGCATAACACTAACATTACATCCTCTTATAAATGTTCTTAATAAAAATAAGTGCTAACCTAGGGTTCTAAAAATACCTCTCTCAATGATCATGATCAAGTTTTTAATTTCATTAATTGCTTAATTAATCACTTGTTACAATGAACAAAATCCAATTTTTAAGTTTCAACCCTAATGTGGCTATACAAGTTTAGAAAATATATCTATATCTTACTAACAAAACCATATATTCATCATGCAAACTCAAGTTTTCGCACTATTTTATCCAAGATCAACATTCAAGCTAGTTAGCCGTCTTAAGCATCACTCAAATGAACAAAACATCTAAATTATGGTCAATCACTTAGAAGCATTAAGAGAAGAGCAAAATAAACACTTAACATATAATTAATCACAAAAAAGATAGGAGAAAGTTAATATTAATTAATTCATGCAAGCATTCAAAGTAACTTTAGAACAAATGTGTTTTGCTACTCATAAACATCCAAAAGCTACAAATATACAAAATATTTGACAGATTTGTGTCTGATTTTTTTTTCATATTTGACAGACTTTTCAAAAACATCAATAAAGAATAGAAAATGCAACAAAAATAGTAGAAATTTTGCCCAAAACTATTCAATATAAAGTCATGTGTGCAAAACCAAGTATATAAGATGCACATTTGTTCCTGGTTTGGATGTTCAAACTATGTGTCAAAATATATTAAAATCCAAAAAAAAAGTGTCCTAAAATGACATAAAATTATAAAAATTATAAATAATAAAAATTTTAATTTTAAAGCATGGACGTATATTCTTAAGTTTAAATTTAATTTAGAAATTAATATTTTTAAGGAAAAAAAACCGGCCCAAAAAAGTTGTTCGAGCCATTTTTTTAGGGCCAGGCTTCAAAGTTTAATTTTTTAAAAAATGTTAATTTTTCAAAACCCAAACACCCATTCCTAGTGGTGGTAATCTAAAGTAGAATGAGAACTACAAATAAACCATAAAAGTATGTTTTGACTTTTGAAAACCATGTGAAAGTGGTTTTACATTTTTTCTCTAGAAGCCATGCATACATCCATGCTTAAAGAGTGTTCATAAAGGTATTTAGATAGATTACTCATTAATAAGATCATCACATTAAATGGTAGCAAGATTTAAACTTATTAACGTATTTACAAGAAACAAGTTATATTCTAAAAAGTAGTAATAATTATTACGTATAAAGCAAAATTCCATAATATCATTGTTCTAATGTAGAGAAACAATTGCGTATGTAAGT